TGCAGAGGGGCAGAAGCCTGGGACAGGGCTACAGGGGCGCATCTGTCGGTGCACATGCGGGGCAGAAGCCCAGGGCGTCCTCCCAGGCGGTGTGGTAAGGTTGCAGCCACCCTCGGGCTGGCGGGGACGTGATCTCGCTGGTAGGGCTGTTGGTGTTGAACGGTATCTGGTTGGTTTCTTTTATCCAGATTGTACCTGCTTAGTGACCTACAAGAACAACTTTCCCAGCCGGCCGCGTAGGTGGGCTCAGCGGCCGTAAATCCCAGCGCACTTTTGGGAGCCGCAGCGGCGGGTGGATCATGAGGACCTCAGCGCAACAGATCGAGGACCATCCTGGCTACGACAACGGTGAAACCTCGCGTCTCTACTGAAAATACACAAAAAATTACCCGGGTGTCCGATGGCGGCGCCCACCTGTAGTCCCAAGCGACTCGGGCAGGCTCGAGGTGGCGAGACTGCGTGAACTCAGGAGCGCGGAGCTTGCAGTGAGAGATCGGCACACACTGGCACTCTCAGCCTGGGCGAGCAGAGGCGACGACTCTGGCAAAACAAAAAAAAAAAAAACCTTTTTCCCTCGCAGCGACCGGGGCCTCAGTTTGCATCACGCACACTTTATTTAAATGGCCCCTGTTTTTCGTCAGGGCCCGACAGAAAATACTCTTCTTCAGACGTCGAAACGCCTGGCCTAAGTCGTCCTCGAAGACGACTCTACACGTCGCCTGTTTCCCTGTCCGCATCGCTGGGAAACTGGAACTTTCTAAAGAGTAAAATCTATGGATTCAGGAATGGGTTTTTTTTTTTCTTTTTTTTTTAACAAAAAAAAAATGGAAAAACAGGACCATTTATTGTAAAGGAACTATTTCCTAACAAGATCGTGGGTTTTTTTGGTTTTTTAGGTTAAAAATGCTGATTTTTGTTGTTGGTGGTTTTAAATCAGTCTCACCCAGAATAAGAAATGCTGAATTTTTGAAGTGTAGGTTCACACAGAATACTTACATCTGCATTGTGGGTTTACCTTGGTCTACAAATGCTACTGACTTGTGGGAACTGTTTTTTTCCTTTGGATTTTAGAAGCGATTAGCAGTGTTAGTGTCATTAACCTGTAATTGTAATAGGCTGTCGTAAATGGAAGAGGCACATCTCAAATGGATGTATGGTCTCGTGAAAGGACCTCGGAGTGTTGAGATGACGTGGGATACTTGTTGTACTCTCTCTTGTAGAAACGGTATTTTGGAGACTGTCGGCAGAGTGCTTGTCCTGGAGGAAACGGAGCGCCTCGGGGAGAGCTGCTTCCACGGCTAAACCCCGCAAGGAGTTTGGAGGCCCGATGTAGGGACGAGGAACCGGCGGACACGCATTCTGAAAGGCACGTGCCCTGGCAACGTGCGGGCAGGCGGGGAACGCTGAGCGGAGGGATCCACTTGAGCCCTGTAAGTTCAAGGCCAGCCCTGGACAAATATCAGCCAAGACGTTGTCTTTTTTTTTTTTTTTTTGGTCTCAGGTTTGTGATCACAAAAAATTTTGAAAAATTAACCAGAGTGATAGCGTACACTAGCTGTGTCCACTACTCAGGAATGCCAGGAACTCCAGAATACGAAGGCTGCAGTGATCGTGATCACACCAACTGACTTCCACTGGGTGACGAGCAATACCGCTGTCTGAAAAAAAAGTAAAATCTTTTAAACCCAGCATAGGCGCAGCTGGCTCATCCCCTGTTATCCCAGCCTTGAAGGCAAGGTGGGGATCACTTGAGCCTAGCCTATTGAGACCAGGCTGGGCAAATAGTAGACCCTTCATCTTAAAATAATAATAACCAGATGTGACACACACTGAAGTCCCAGCTACTCGGCTGAAGCAGGAGGGATGCGCTTGAGCCTAGGAGGTCAGGCGCAGTGAGTCCGATATCGACACTTGCCACTGCGGCCTGGCCAACAGACGGGAATACCTGTCCTCACAGAAAAATAAACAACAAAAAAAAACCCTGATGGTATAATAATCCATTTTTAATAAATTATATGGATATACGCCAGACACAGTGCTCACAGCTGTAACCCAGCACTTTGGGAGTCCAAGGGAGGGTATCGCCTTGAGTCCAGAACGTGACTAGAACCAACCCTGGCAACATGAGTAAACCACCCCCGTCTACTAACATAACAAAAACAAATCTAGCCCCTGTGATGCCCCTATGTAATCCACCCACTACTCGGGAGGAACCCGAACCAATTGCCTTGCGAGACCTCCACCGTGATACGGGCCAGCATCGATGCCACTGCAGCTCCAGCGCTGGCCCGCCGAGACAATATACTAAAACCAACCCAAACAAACACCGCAACTTTGAACACTCGTTTTGTTTTGTTTTAATTTCAGAGCCCAGAGTTTCCTGAACAGCGGGGAACCTGACCGTGCCGGTTCGCAGTGAAAGCACCGAGGCCTGTGCGGCAGAGGTGGTGCGCCCTACTCTCGGTTTAATTACACTCGCACTTCAGAACAGACGCGAGAGCGAGCTGGGGAAATGCAAGATTACAGGAGCAAAGTCTAGAAATATACTTAAAAAGAGAATTTAAAAACTTCACAAATGTAGCACATTGAAAGGAAATAAGAGTAGAATTCACTTCCTAAAAAAATGACCACTGTCGATTTGTAACTTCTGCTGCGCCTCAACCTCGCTTCCATATATTTCTTTTTCGCCCTTTTTTGAGGCAGATCGTCCGCTCCATCACTCCCCAGCTGGAGGCGTGGCGCGATCCTTCGGCTCACTGAAGCTCCAGCTCCGCCCGGCGTTCCGCCATCTCGCTCCTCAGCCTCCCAAA